CTCTAACAATATAACCTCCCCATTATTTCTTGAATTAAGGCTGTAGGGCCAACGTCGGGGCAATGATGTGGCAAACTCCGCCGTGACCTACCGTCGCACACTTGCACGATGTCATTTTTTTTGAGGATGGCATGCAGCACAATTACACACTGGCGCCTCACTGACGCAGCTTTTAAATGCGACGCACAGGCGCGTGCGTGCGCGCACGCACGCACGCACGCACGCACGCACGCACGCACGCACGCACGCACGCACGCACGCACCACACACACACACACACACACACACACACACAACATACAAACATACACACATGCAGCATCTTGGTGACTTGCCGAGCGGTGCCGCAGCAGCAACCGCCAGCTTAGCCAGTGCCAAGGCCCACCACGAGGAGGTGCGCTGCGATCGGGCCTCAAAAACTTTGAACCCACAGCGTGGGTCAATCCTTGCCATTACCCCTAGCCGCGGGCTTCGGGTGGCAAGGGGGGCCATGCAAGCGGCGAGCCGCTGCGGCGTGCCTCCGATGAAGCACAGGGTCGTTTAAGGACCGACCGCAAGGTCCAGCGCACGCGTACGCACGCGCGGGCTTTCGACCGCGCGCGCGCATGCGCATGCTTGCACTGTGCACGGGGACGCGTGCACGAGCACACTCACCCACAGCGTGGGTCAGTCCTTGCCATTATCCCTAGCCACGGGTTTCGGGTGGCAAGGGGGGCCATGCAAGCGGCAAGCCGCTGCGGCGTGCCTCAGATGAAGCACAGGGTCGTTTAAGGACCGACCGCAACGTCCGGCGCACGCAAACGCAATCGCACCCCACGCCCATCCCAACCTACACGCACGCACGCACGCACGCACACACGCACGCACACACATACACACACGCACACACACACACACACACACACGCGCGATCTTGTTGACCCACAGCGTGGGTCAGTCCCTTGCCATGAGCCCTGGCCGGAAAGCCTCGGGTGGCAAGGGGGGCCATGCAAGCGGCAAGCCGCCGCGGCGTGCCTCCGATGAAGCACAGGGTCGTTTAAGGACCGACCACAAGGTCCAGCGCACGCGTACGCACGCGCGGGCTTTCGACCGCGCGCGCGCATGCGCATGCTTGCACTGTGCACGGGGACGCGTGCACGAGCACACTCACCCACAGCGTGGGTCAGTCCTCGCCATTATCCCTAGCCACGGGTTTCGGGTGGCAAGGGGGGCCATGCAAGCGGCAAGCCGCTGCGGCGTGCCTCAGATGAAGCACAGGGTCGTTTAAGGACCGACCGCAACGTCCGAACGTCTTGAGCAGGCTGGGCGTAGCTTGGGCAGAAGGTGGCTTGCGCTTGAAGGCCTTCGGAGGGGGCGGAGCGGGATGTGACGTGAGGGGTTTCCGAGCGTTCGCCGTGCGCCGCCCCTGCTGCCTTTTTGATAGAGTCGCTCGTAAAATATTCTTTATTCGCGGCGCGGCATCAAAGCAACAAATGCGGACCCACAAGCATGCTGCTGCTTCAGGAGGTTTTCGCTTGCGGACATGGAATGGCAAGCTTACTTGCTTAAAAGTTTATCGTGGCACTCGATTGATTGTGAAAATGAACGTTTGCAATCCGCATGGCGCGAATAGAGCTCGCAATGTCCTTAGCCGGCAGGAAGCTGACCGTCGAGGTTCTTCCTTCAGCTGTGCAGGCCCAAATATATGCAGAAACAACTAACGTAATCACTCGTGAACCATAGGCAACGTGTAAGGCGGGTTGGGTTGGGTGGGGGTGCTTCGTACCTTGCGTCCATGCCTTGTGTGCAGCTGCACGCACACCTCGTGTGCATCAGTGCGTGCCTGCACAGAGCTGTACGCTTGCTGGAGAATGACTGAGGGTACACAGAAGAAGAATAAAATTCAATTGAACTATGAAGGCCAGTTGAGGTTGCGGGGCTCTGTGCTTTGGGTGGATTGTGCTGTGCTGACGCAGCCCTACCGGCCCCTAGGTGATTGGGCCTCCCTTGCAGTCGTTGGTAGACCGCCCACCTATGCAGCCCCTGCAGGGGCGTGTATGCAAGCGAGTGCTGTGCAGGCATTTCATGGATGCGCGGCATGCCAGGCGTGTTGCTACAGGGTTGCATGCATGGTTCCATTCTGCATAGTCCACTTGTGCGAGTGGGCGACAGCCCTGAGGGCGTGCGTGGGTTGGATATCACCATTCCACATGTCCGCCGCGCCGGCCTTCACCCCCGCTGATGTGTATGTCACGCTCAGCCGCGCCACCACGCGCGACATACTGTACATATCGCAAGCAGATGCCAGCTGGCTTCTCACGCAAGTGCATGAGGCCGTTTTCGCCGCCAATGCGGCCGCCGCGCAGGCTGCACGCCCCTGACATTAGTGCATCGCCTCCTGATTTTTTGTGTGCTGAGCGCAGCGCTCAGAGCATCGGGGCATCATGCAACCCCCTCAAGCACCTGCCTGCTGGCAGCGCGAATACATGGCTAGGTGACGATGTACTGCACATGTGAACGCGGCGTGGCTGGTGTTGTTGTGCGGGCTCCCGCGCAGCATTGTGCAAAGCATTCAACAGTGTCACGTACAACGTGCAAAGCCAGGCTTTGACAAGGGGGCGTTGGCTGCCAGGGCCGTTGCACATCGGGGCAAGTGTGCTGAGCGAGCCGCTGCCAAAAGCCGCCTGGTT